ACCCCCTCCCAACTATATACATATAACCTCGGGACACGGAGTAGAGTGCGGGAACGGATTCAATGGAATTGTAATAGATAAGCATGATATGGGGGAGGGGGGGAGAGTAGGGGGAGAGGGAGGGAGAGAGAGACTGTTGCCTGAGGGTAGGTAGGGGCAGGGGGAGGACACTCAAGTTTCACCTTGAGTGAAAGACAGAGATCTCTTCTCCTTAAACAAGAACCATGCCTAGCTACTTTACTGGCGCTATCTCTAGTTTTTCTCAACACTTTCGCATTATCAGGGCTTCCGTTATTTTTAATGTTTGTAGGGCAGACTGGACCTGTGCTGTAGAATTCGGTAGCCCCCACGCAAGTGTGGCTATTGAGCACTTTAGATATGGCTAATCTGAATTGAGATGTGCTCAGAGAGTAAAGTACATAACAGATGTCTACAAAAAGATTATGGGAATCACATTTGTATTGTTTAATTTTCTAGTGGCCAGATTTTAAAAGTAAAAAGAAACAGGTGAAAATACTTTTAAGAATATATTTCCTCTAACCCAATCTATTCAAAATATTATTTTACCACATAATCAATATAAAAATTGTTAATGAAAGAGTGGAAGTGGACAGATCGGCTGGGGCAATCTATCATTTACAATATCACGTTTCATCAGTAAATCTCTCTCTACACAGCCCGTGCAGGGTGCTGGCACATGCGTGGGCACACGCTCTCTCTCATTTTTCTAGCTTCCATATTCATGTTGCTAGAGCAAAACTTACAGGGGCCCTCTCATTAAAAGTGCTCTGAGCATCTTATGAATCAGTGAATATGAAATACAGTATTTCCTCATCCTATAGAAGGACATAAATACACATTCCAGTGAATAGACAGACCAAAGAAATCAACTGCATTCTAAGGGGGAGGAAGTGATCACCTCCTATTCCTGATTCTGCCGTAAGTGACCAGGAATTGTGCATGACTATGGTAAAAGGACACAAATGTGTGCAGCTATGGAAGGTAAGAAGCAGTAGGGGCAGGTGTCAGGACGCTGTCCGCTTGACTGATGCTCTAGCCGTATCTCATGCTTGCAATCGTGTCAGCAAATAAAAGCCGTTTGTAACATATTTCTATTCGTCCCATTTGAGGATTATTTGTGATTAGATCGTGTGGCTTGTCCATCGAGATCAGTGGGGGTGGCAGGAGCATACCATAGGGAAATGTCAACTCATCTCAAAGCAACCTCAGGGCCATGACAGCACATGCCTGCCTTCTGCCAGCCTGACTTCCTCTGTGACCGTGGGGAAGAAACAGCAGAGCAGACCTGTACCGTTTTCGCACCGCCAGGAGCCTCACGTTTTTATTAGTTTATGGTTAACTTACATGCCCTTGTTTGTTCGGAGACAAATGAACCACTGGATCCTGTCGCATTAATCTCCCACTGGGGCTCTCCCGGAAAGCTGGCAGTACCTTTGATACCGCTGGGAGGTGGCACATTGGCTCTGGAATACAGCATAGGACATTATGGTGCAGGCACAAAACAGATCCAGGCACAGGTTAACACATGAAGACAGCTTGCCACTGCATCTCCTAGTTCACTGACCAGCAAAACTCTGAATTTCAGCAGTAAGCTTGTTGAGAGTTTACACAATAGGCAGCATGTCAGAAACTAAGTGGCTGATGGGTAAAGCTTGCAGCTCGCGACCATGTGTCACGTCATACACATTAGCATAGCCACGTACCACCAAACCAAAGGCCATGAACAATGTGACAAAGTTAGGAATCAACTTTTGGTTTGCGGGGAAAGCCTAGGGTATATGGATTGATTTTATTAAATTCATTCATTGCAAAGTGTGGCTACCCTAGCTTGGTCTACATTACCTAGACAGGCATGGGTGCAATCACGTGTTACTTACCATGACACTTTGGAAATATTTTACCTGTATATTCATGCTGCTCGAGGAAAAAAGAATTGAAATCCTGAGGTCCTCTATAACTGTAAGCTAAGCACAACAGAAAAGACACACAGCAACTAGTTTACTTAAAACAATTGCTTCCTTTTGGGCTCCAAGCTCGTGTTCACGATGGGGTTCCAAACATGAAAGGTAAGTGACTTTGCTTCTTTAACATGCCTATAGCTAACAGCAACAATTCTGGGCTTCTGCAATGCCATTCCTAACGCATAAAGGGGCAACATACTCTGTTACTCCGACTCTCAAGCATCTCCAAAAGCAGAGAGGCAGAAAAATGAACATCAGCTCAGACGAGTGAGCCAATTAAGCAGGCTAAGCTCCTTGTCTCCACTGGGGTACCGTACCCGTTGATAAAACACTGATGTACAAAGACAGGTGAGTCTGGCTACCAAATAAGAATCTTCTCAACATTTTCAATGAGTGAANAAAAATTACCATGCAAACACTGGATAAGTGATGTTCTCTGATAGAGAGGCAGTTAAAGGATGTGTTCAGCATCATAACGCCATGTTAGTCTTAGAAAAGGCCCCTTCCTTTTAAAAATATGGTCAAGATTTTCTTTTAATGTCTTCAAAAGGCTGTTCCATTCTATTTTCTCTATTGCTAGCTGAAAGCCAAAATCATAAAATTCTTCTAATTCTGGTATGCAGTTAGGAAAACTTTTTATAAAACCAAATACAACTTTACAAAGACTAAAATCTGTAAACGTTTCTCACCATTTAAAATGATGCTTTAGGGTTGAAGGAATCAAGTATTTGGGTGGCAACTCGCACTAAATATACAAAAATCGCTGTCACTGCATGAAAACCCCCTTTCTTTATACACTGTTGAGCGAAGTAAAGTGGGAGGAGGATGGAAACTCGACTGGGGGCTGGGCCGGGCGTGGAAGTGGCAGCAGGGAAGGGCAGTTACCTTGTGTGGGAAGCAGCGTCGTTTATACTGAAAGTGCTGTTCTCCCTGGTCAGAGGGTTGGACCCAGCCTGGCTCTTGCTGTGGATATCCAAGCTCAGGGAGGACTCTGTTTTCCGGTCCATGCCATGGCCGTCTGTCTCTAAAGTCCGATCAACCATGGAGATCACTTCACTGGAGCTATGCCACAGGGGGGTCACTTTCTCCTTGCCTGGCCCTGAGCGAGGGGACGACGTGGCGGCCCCCAGGGAGGCCGTGCTGCCGTGGCTGGGGCCATAGGAGGTTGTGTCGATGCCACTGTCAGCAGAGGTGCCCTGCAGGTAGTTGTAGCTGTTGAGTTCGGATTCCGTGCGGTCCCCATCATACCACTTCTCGTCACTGTGGGCACTCGAGGCGTTGCTGGAGAGGGTATTGCTGCTGGAGTGGCTCGAGTAGTGGCTATCGGACTGCAAGGGAAGCGAAGTGTACTTAAGTACAGGTTTTGCGTCTTAAACACCAAGAAAAAAACATGGGAGGGTGACCCCGTGGCATATTTCTAGTTACGGGGTTCTCAAGGCACAAAAATTCTGATGATGACAAACCAAAGTAAGACAGGACGTGCCCAGAAGAACCCAGTCAGAAGTGTTCATGGCAGACAGCACTGGAAACTTTCTTTTTTCCTTTTTAAGTATCCATTTTTCATTATTTGACTTATGCTAACGTATCAAAACTATTGAGATCATTTTAATCAGAAAAAAATCTTAACTGTCATTAGTCTTTAATATCTTAATCTTAAAATAGAAATGAAATGACACTTCCAAAGAATTTATAATTAGAAAAGCCCTAC